AGAACGCGCGATTGAAAATCGCTCGCGCAATACAATTACACATAAGCGCTGACCTTTGACCGGCGATAATTTCGGCTAGGAACAATATTTTTTCATGGGACCAAAAGCAGCTGATTGATATCACTCCCCTCTATCAGAAACAACTATAAAGTCGATTTCGAGAGAATTTTGATGAAGACCCCCCCCCCCGGCCCCCTTAAATCTGAGGTATATAATTGATGTATCGAAAGGATTTTCCCTTTTTTTACCACCTTACCATTTTGATTGATTTTGCACATGACTGACATGTTTTAACTGGAGAAAGGGTTCGCACAGTGGTAGTTTTATAAACCACTTTTAATTTATTGACCTATTATACCTAGTGGTAGTTTTATAGACCACATTTAATTTATTTACTTATTATACTTAGTATTTATTTTTGGTGACTGTATCACCCAGTTTTAACATTTGATAATTGTACAGTTTATTGACGACACATTGACTGAATGTTATTTTATATTCTAATTTATATTCTAGATATTTTATTTATTTCTCAACAGACGACAACTTCCTGTTTTTTCTTCTATATTAGTTACTTTTACAGACTTTTTTACAAGGACATTGACAGATGATACTCACATTAGGCATTCATTATTGCATCTAAATTATTTCACTTGCATTAGGTTTAGAAATTTATTCTCTGGTTAACAGATTTCAAATGTTTAATTAATTTGTAGTATGACAGTAAGGTATATAAGAAGTTATTTAATTTTGCTTGGGCTATTATATTGACTATTGAGGTTTAATGATGATATGGAATTTGAATTCTATATAAATTTACACTATGTGGTTGGGGCATTTTGCATAGTAAATATGGTTACTACTCCTATATATCATATTATTTGATTGGTATTCGATTTCTGATTATTTCTCTAGGAATATGATTATCATATCTCAATTTGGCTTTAGGTAGGGTGCCCCGCTAAAAGAACTGGATTCTTCCAGGAAGCATCCCGTGCACAGACCTTGGTCTACATATGTATTAAATTATTAACCATTCATTCTGTATGTGCACGAAAATTTATTTCAATCAATATCATATGAATTGATTGCACTGCTAATAAATAAGATACTTTGTTTTACTAAAAAAATACTTTGTTTTACTAAAAAAATACTTTGTTTTACTAACTGTAATATATCATTTTTCAAGACACAGTCTAGTTTATGTTTTAAGCTGTTTATATTTATAAATACAATAATTGTTATACTACAATTATTCAATTGCTTTGATAATATCTTACAGGTTAAGATTATGTCGTTGGCTAAAGCCTTTACACCTCGTAATGGAATGAGGTACTCCCGACATCCTCTACCAAAAATGTGGAAAGTGACTGTTTGTGGTATAACAGCGTTCGTTTCTGGTCTTTATGCATATGACATGCACTGGGAGAAAATGATGCAGAAATTCGAACTAGACACTGGTGATATTCATCTTTATCCCCTGACAGATGTTCCAGATGTTTGGGACGAACATATCAAGAGAAACATTCCAATGAGAAAGTTTGAGCCATTGGGACATAAGGCAACTGAAATAACATCTGATACTGTGCGACCAATACGTGGAATTGAAGATGTGGAAGGTGCTCCTATTTGGAGTAATGATGAGTATAACAAAATCATCTACTACAAGAAATCAGAGTAGCGCCTATCAATCTACTTAGTTGTGTTCTGGATTATTGCATCATATCAATAGAGGATACTTGGTGGAGGAAACTGTTAAATTATTGAAAAATATTGGGAGATCAAGTAGAAAAGTAAAACAACCAATAAGAGAAATAGCTTGTTTGTTATCACAACATTATCCTATTATCATTTCGACTGCAGTGTTGACAGCATCAAGAGCTATACTCATTAAATCTAAATAACATAATATTGTGATTGCATTTATTAATTTAACTGCCAAAACATATAAATTTAAAACAGTATGTTAATTGGTGGTCTACATATTATGTTACTGAAACACAGAATGTAAGATTGAAATGAAAGTATTACTGTGTTTCACAGAAATAGACGATTTTCATGGGTATTATATTACATACATTTTGATTTGTGAACATGCACCCTTGTCAAGTTGGTTTAGATTTTGTAAATTATTCACTTGGCCTATTCATTTTATCAATCGTCCCAAAAATAAATGAGTTGCTAAAGCTTTAACCCATTAGGGACGACGAGTTTTAAAGTTTGCCGATTTTGATGCCGTTTAACACACTAGGTCACTTTACAGCAAAAATGAGATATCCAAAAAAGCTAATCTGTATCTCGTTTACTTTAAAAGATACAGCTATGGTCGCATACGACCCACTCGTCCGGGTCGCAAACGACCCATCACGGTTTTTCGGCTTTAACTTCTGAAACAAAGACGTTAGGATAAAATAAAATAAAAAGCATAAGTTAAAAACATATGGTCAATACTGTGTGACTCTAACTTTTTTAAAATAAAGAATTTGGGTCATTAACGACCCACTCGGCTCACTTGCTTATTACTACATATGTCCATGTAACTTCTTGAATTCAGCCTAAAGCATGACATCATAAGTTCAAAATCGCCTCTCAGCAAGTGATAATCATCATAAACTGCGAAAAGTCGGTTAAATGGGTCATTAGCGACCCACTAAGACCACAAAATTGATTAATTAAATATAATGTTGTCAAACTTTTACAAATATTAGTATAAAAACATGTTATATCTTGGTCATTACTCCTGTACGTTGATTTAAATTTTAAAATCGATCAACTGGGTCAATAACGACCCACTCGGAAGTTGAACCACGACATTAATTATCAGTATCATGTTGTTCTACCATCAAGAAAGACACTCGTAGGTCTTAATTCCACGCAAACCACGGGTGGCTGACTACTAGCCCTTCTGAGATCTGGAGTCTCACGGTAATCTGCAGATCACGTCACCCAATGACTGACGAATAATGGGCAGAATTGGATTGATAGGTAGGTGAGTTTATCAGCTGTTAGTACACGACCGTAATGTCGTGAGACAGCAAACAACATGCCTATCTTTTCCCGATTCCTAGAACGTCCAAGAAGAACTATACAACTGCTGGATTCAGATTTCAGATGGCTGCATCTACTCTCTTCGCAGCTCCCTTTTTTTACTTCTTAGGGGCCGTTCATATATTACGTAATCACTTATTGGACAATTTTTACGCCCCCCCCCCCCCCCCCCCACCACATAGCTATTATGTCAAAATTACACAAGCTTAATCATTTGGAAACTCCCCTCCCTCTCGGCCGATTACGTAATACTTGTTTTCGTTTTGAAAGCTGCCTCGTTGTTGCGGGGTTTGTTACCCAAAACGAGGTAGTTGTCTGAGAGATTGCAGGTTGCAGCACCGCCAGCCAAATGGGGGGGGGGGGGGGGGGGGGCTTTTTCCTTGTCCTTCTTCACAGAGCTGTAGATGTAGCCATCTGAATGCAGCAGTTGTTTAGTTATTCTCGTACTTTCTAGGAATGAAAAAAACATACTGGCATGTTGGATTAGAATATGCAATTTGACCACTCGTCTTTCAGTATTTACCCAAGGTTACATGATATCTCGTATACTTCGTTCAGGGGATTTTTCTTGAGTGACATGATCTGATCACCGTGGGACCCTGGGTCTCAAGCGGTGGGTTGTAGCAGGTCGTTTACCAAGATTCGAAATTGACGAAAAAGGTAACAGAATCTAATAAGCAACAACAACAGCATGGCTATTACCTAGCAAGTTAGGAACGAGGGCCGATTCCTTTTCTTTTGCGGCACGGCCACGGTCCTTTCGGTACAGATTTTCACGCACCATAGTATTATAGTCAGGACGCAACTCCAGGCATATGCAGTAGTGTTATTCTCGCAGCTCTTTGATGAGTGATGACGGCCCTTCAGTTGGCCCTGGATCTCAGAAGGGCTAGTAGTCAGCCACCCGTGGTTTGCGTGGAATTAAGACCTACGAGTGTCTTTCTTGATGGTGGAACAGCATGATACTGATAATAATTGATGAGGTGGTTCAACTTCCGAGTGGGTCGTTATTGACCCAGTTGATCGATTTTAAAAGTTAAATCAACGTACAGGAGTAATGACCAAGATATAACATGTTTTTATACTAATATTTGTAAAAGTTTGACAACATTATATTTAATTAATCAATTTTGTGGTCCTAGTGGGTCGCTAATGACCCATTTAACCGATTTTTCGCAGTTTATGATGATTATCACTTGCTGAGAGGCGATTTTGAACTTATGATGTCATGCTTTAGGCTGAATTCAAGAAGTTACATGGACATATGTAGTAATAAGCAAGTGAGCCGAGTGGGTCGTTAATGACCCAAATTCTTTATTTTTAAAAAGTTAGAGTTACACAGTATTGACCATATGTTTTTAACTTATGCTACAGTTTTTATTTTATCCTAACGTCTTTGTTTCAGAAGTTAAAGCCGAAAAACCGTGATGGGTCGTTTGCGACCCGGACGAGTGGGTCGTATGCGACTGCAGTTAGTAAACAGCGTCTAGCTCTGTTTGTGAACATCTGATTATCACGGGCTTTTCATATGTCTCAAGGAAATCGTTGCCCGCAACTATTTTGTCCTCAACAAAATAAGCCTACATAAAGTTTTAATGTCCCAATCAAGGCAAGAAGTAAAGTGAAATATTTTCCAATTATGACGACTAATTAGCCTAATTATTTAGTTGTTAGTAATTAATTGGGTCTCGACTGGAAAGTCAATAATGTAGCCCAATAAATTTTGAGCATATGTGCGAAAGATTCGTTGCGTTTAGTATTATGGTTTGTCCTCTATAGCCTCTAGAAAAGGTGGGTCGTAAACGACCCTATCGTCCCTAATGGGTTAAATTGAAAATTTTGAATCTTAATAACTAATAATAACTAAAATACATGATTTCAAACTATACACTTAACACTACCAATCAAGATAGCATAATAATTGTTCAACAATCTAACACAACTATTTTAACAGATCATGTAGCTGTAGTTGTAACATGTAGCCCCAAACCTTGATGAAAGTCGACGGCAACAGAGATGGGTTACTCTTCATAGGTTACATAAATCATTCTTTTCAAGATCTTTCTTTTTCTTTTAAATTGTATTAATATTAAATCTATTATACAGGATAACAATAAAAAAGATTATTAATTTTACGATCGAAATTCAAAATTCTAATTCATAACTCTTGTAACTCTTGTAATTTTTGTAACTCTTGTAACTCTTGTAACTCTTGTAAGTCTTGTAACTCTTGTAGGACTGAACCAGGATCACAGCTGTTTTGCGTGTGGTGATGAGGTTGGTGTGCGGATCTTCAACTGTGATCCTGTAAAACAGCTGCAGTTTCAGAATTTTAATCATGGTATTGGTCACGTGGAGATGCTGTTTAGGTGTTGTTATCTCGCACTCGTCGGTGGAGGTTTAGTTTCAGTTACTTTCAGTTACTTTCAGTTACTTTCAGTTTAAAAGTGTTTCTATAGATCAATCAGCTTCTAAGAGGTACAGGTAGAATGACATTTATTCCTTATGGCGGAAAATTTCCTTCAAATTATATTATGTTTTATGATATCATGTTCACTGTATAAAATAGTCACGTGGTATGGCGTCATGTCACGTGGTGTGACGTCATGCCACGTGGTGTGACCAGCAGCCACTAACACTCCTCTCTCCCCAGGACAGGACCCCACGTGGGACACCACCAAGGTAGTAGTATGGGAGGACCAGATCCAGCGTCCAGTCTGCGAGATAGAGATGTCCCACCCCGTACTGAGCGTGAAGCTGAAGAGGGACCGGATAGTTGTAGTGACTTTAGAGGAAGTGTACGTGTACACATTGGATCACAACCCTGTCCTACTGCTGTGTTACTCTACTAGTGTCAACCCTGCTGGGTTAACAGAACTGTGCACCACCACCTCACTCTTAGCGTTCCCTGGGGTGGACAAAGGGCAGGTCTCCCTGGTTAACATAGCGGAGGATTCCCAGAGTCAGATGCGGATGATCCCCGCGCACACGGGCCCACTCGCTATACTCTCCCTAAACATGCAGGGCACCATGCTCGCCACCGCGTCCGACAAAGGGACGCTCATCAGAATATTTGACACACATACGTGCTTGTTGTTGTACGAGTTACGGCGGGGCACTAACAAAGCTCACATTTCCAGTGTAGCCTTCAACAGACTATCCAATCTTTTGTGTGTGACCTCAGATACCAAGACCCTCCATATCTTCTCACTGGATGGGAAGAGCAAGAGCAGGTCTGTTACTAAGCACACTTTGTCCCAGGGGCTACCGTCTGTCTGCTGTTTTGGGAATGATGAGAATACTGTCATTGTTATTAGTAGTTCGGGGTATTATTTTAAGATAAGGTGGAATGATAAGGGGGAGACTTTCAAGGAGGAGCAGTTTAAGTTCATGTTGTTGTCGGATGATTGAGGTGTGACGTTATGTCACGTGGTGTGACGTCATGTCATGATAACGTTTGGCTGTTACGTTATGCAGCCTGATTTGTTGTCAGCCTCAAGATAATTTTTATCCCCTAGAGACGCAGTAGAGAGCCTAAGTTATTTAAATTATCTTCAACAATGAGTAATTATTGTAGTTATTGTAATTTGAGATACTGTTTTCAACGGTACATCTTAATATAACCATGTGATATCACCCACATATTTAAATTGTAACGGTAACAACATCACACATTAAAATTTTCCCCAAATTTTCACTTTGAAATTTTACATTTTGATCAAGATGATCACTGTTTTATATGTAATAATTGCAATGTTTTCAGCCACTGTTCCACTGTTTTACAATATTTTCACTTGGTCGGACTTGTCCTCATAGCCAAAGTAGTTAACAATTGTGTGTAAATTATGCTGCCTTTAGCACTACACACCATCACAAGCTAATTATTTGCTCACCAAATACGTATAATCAAGTGTCGACACAAAGTGTCCTGAATCACATTTGCACCGAACCACCTTAATACTATATAATTCCACAACAGTCCCCCAAAGTTTCCTACAAGTAACTGACTCACCAGCCCAGTTAACATGGTGAGATACTCTCCAATACCAATGAAAGACAAGAACTGGAGACTGGTAGCTGCAGCGATATTGACTGCTGTATCTGGGACTTTGTTCTACAGACTCAAAACGGAGAAGGTTGAACTTATGGATAAAGCTGATGCGCTCGATCAGGGTTATAGTTAGAGGTACGACGTCATGGCACGGTGGTTTAACGTCATGGCAAGTGGTGTGACGTCATGTCACGTGACGTCACGGCACGTGGTGTGACGTCACGGCACGTGGTGTGACGTCACGTGTCGTCATGTCATGATATGAAGTGTTCTAATGTGGGTAATTACAGCTCGATTCTGTGAAACTTAATCAGCTGACTAGAAATGAAACAATCTTACCATGATCCCCGACACAGATACATTAGGGACTGAAATAAAGGAGCAAGACTTTATTATAATTGTACGAACGTTTTTTCTTGTTACATTACCTGTCGCTAAGTATTCATGTGTTGTTGGATAGACTATGGCAATGTAACAGTTAATCATTGTGTTGAATAGTATTATAAACAGCTTTTCAGGCGGCATTAATGTCCTTTTTAGTGTGTTTTCATACTTGTAACCAATATATATATATTTTAATGATACTATTTGTCTTTTTTACATCGCTTATTTACTTGATAAAATAAAATTATAATATTAAGTGTCTATTAAATATAATCGATGAAAGTGAAACTACAGAATATTTCCTTCAGCAGTCTAGTTAACCTATAATATAGATCACACTAGGTCTAAAATCTATGTTAATTTCCAATTGGTATCCCTCGTGAAATTTAAATTTGTCAATACATCTGGTTACATTTAAAAACCAAATATTCATTTTACATTTGATCACTAACTGTAGTCTATACGGCATATATAATATTTCTGTATCATACATAATATGATCACTTACAATGTAAACATGACCACTACAATGAACAGCCAATGTCTGAGGAGGTGTTGAATGAGTCAACGTCCAACGTACCGGCCAATGAAAAGTACACGCCCTTCGTAGGACCATGGCGCGTGATGAAGGACCGCGCGCTCGAGGAAAAAGAAGCGCACGAGCGCCGCGGACTTGAGAATCCGTGCAGACAACGGACCAAGAAAATGTGGGTCAGCCAGGAAGAAATGCACCGACAGAAAGTGCCCCTTTATTACAGGTAATTAGTCAGCTAAATAGTCAGTTAATTAGTTAATCAGTTAAAGAGTAGTATTATATCCTAAATCCACTTAATTTGCACTCCCACTATCTTGTTAAAAGTTTCCATATTATATCATAAGATGTACAGTTGTAAAACGCAGTAAGTATCAGTAAAATTAACTGTACTTTATCATCAATTTATTAATAATCAGTAAAATCAATTGTAGTTTATTTACAGGGACTATTGTGCTCACTGGTTTATCCCCTGGAGGAACTGTCTTGTTGACAACAACTGGACCCGCAAAGCTCATAAAACTGTCTGTCATGTAAGTCACGTGTCTGTCATGTAAGTCACGTGTCTGTCATGTAAGTCACGTGTCTGTCATGTAAGTCACGTGTCTGTCATGTAAGTCACGTGTCTGTCATGTAAGTCACGTGTTGAAGTCACACGTGCAAGTTAAGTCACGTGTGTAGTTTACAACTTCTTCGTGATGAACCTCAAGCTGAAAGGAGATGGTATAAAATAGCCAAAATATGGCTGACGCAACATGCGAACAATCCCTTGTATAATATAATTTATAATATACATAATAGTATATAATATTATGCATTATGAATGTTTGATATACCCTCCACTTTTTCAGCGCTGGAAGGAGGGTTGGGACCAGTGCCAGATAAGAGACAACCTGGATCGAGTAGCGGAGAAGAAATGTCTGAAGAAAGAGGGATTGTGGAGAAAAGTTCCATTTTCTGCTGAGATATTCGACAATAAGAGGGACAAGCTAATGGCGAATGACAGCGGTACGCGCGAACTTTTTACTAGCTTTTTTTGTATATTTTTGTATGGTAGTGCACCACTTTTATGCGCAAAACGCGCGCATAAACAGCGCGCGTAATCGCTATATTATCGCCCTGGAATTTTACAACTGCATTTTATGTTCATCATAAATTTGTGATATTTGGAGAATTCGTAGATGCAAGTTCCTATAATACGAACACCATTATCATTCTGACAGTTGCTATTCCAAGCGAAGTGGTCGACATTTTCAATATTGAAGGGGCTTCAGAAGACGGAGTTCAGCTTGAAAAATAACAAAAAACGTATGCTTTTATTGCTTTATTTCCCAGCATCTATTGCAACCGTTTTGGATGATTACTAAATTCATCTTCAAACTAAACGATTCTTTCAGGTTGGCAGTTCGGATACGATATCCGCGGTAGACCAATTCGGAGACGTATGGCTGAAGCTCAAGTAGAAGTTTAGACTATAAACTCGCTGAAGGATAGATTTAAAGTACCAGGATCAAGAGATAGCGTATGAGTTGTGGACATTATTAATTGTTATTAAGTTATTCTACTTCTAGGCTTTTGATTACTGGGCGAACAATTTTGTATTTAGATTAGATTGAAGTACACCGGAATCCGGATGGCGGATTATCCAATATCGTGAACGTAATTCATTAATGAATACACACTAAGTTATTATTAATATGATCTGTGATAAATTAGAAACTTAATCAATTGTACTCAAAACGATCCGTTTTATTTCAAGTGGATTATTAAAATGATTAAAAATCTCGAGTATAAAATATTAAAAGTTTTAACAACAGCCTTAATCGCAAATTAGGTGATGGGTCCCCATCCTAATCAGACAAAATATGCCCTCGTCTCATTACTTTCATTCAACATTAACTGATTACACTGCGCATGAAAACTTTTCAGCTGTTAAAAAAGGGGGCCTTCCCCGCACTGATCCCTCAAATAGATATTAACCGCTCACACTGTTGAACTGTAGTTAAGGTTCAGTTCCATTGCATGACCTTGTAATGTGGCAATCCGAACCTATCCAGATTAAGTTAAGCAGCGTAGTACCTCCTCGTTGTGTCGTATCAAGTCGTTATAAGCTCGTCTAAGCTGCTCAAATTTCTTGCCCTGAAGTTGATATAAAATGATATGATATCAAACCTGCTCATTTTTAAGGAGAACATGGAATAATTATTACAAAGGATGTCTGAGCTGCAGTCTGCACGTAAGATATCATATTAGTCTATGTAATAAGCGCCATGAGTTGGCACAGAATTTTTTGTCTCTGATTTTGATAAATTTGGTACCAAAAGTTGCCTTTAACTATGAATAATGAAAATTCACCGTGTAGCACGATTCGTTGAGATGTATGTGTGCCTCCTGTGCATTGCAAAAGTGTAATATGGACAAAAATGGTTAATTCATTGCTTAAAATGCCTATAACTCCTAAAATATTGAATATTTTGAAATAATTCTTACAGAATCGTAATAAGCTTAATCAGACGCAACTTTTGATACCAAAATTATAATATTTAAAGCACCAAAATTTCGAAAATTCTTTCAAAATTTTACTTGTATCACGTGGTGACCCCCACGGTCGCTACAGGGGGAGCCGCGCACTTCGTGCGCGGCGGGTCATACAACGTATGACAAAATTTTACCTTGTGTTCAGATTAAAAACTTTTGAAAAAAAATTCCTTTAAATCTTAAAATATTAGTACTAAAAGTTTCGTCTTGATGAGCTGATTACGATACCATAATAACTATGTGATAATAATTGAAAATATGAAAGTTATAGGCCAAAAACTAAAAATTTGCGCGAAAAAAGCACGCGCGGCGAACAAGCGCCGTGTAGCATTTTTTCCGAAAATTGCTACACGGTGGATTTATTTTATTCACATTTTTAGACAACTTTTGGTACCAAATTTATCGAAATCGGAGAAAAAAAGTTCTGTGCTCGCGCTTGGCGCTTATTACACTGACTATATTGACGGATAGGATGTTACTCGTCTAAATTTCTTCGAAGTAGCGCGCGCCGCTTTCTGCCCGATGGCAAGAGCTACGAAGTAGCTTGTAGCGCGATGCACTACTGGGTCGCGCGCGCATCAAATAATGCTTCTCGCAACCACTCTTCGCTAGATCGGCGAGGTGCACCACTGTGCCTCACCGAGCTGCGAAGGATTGACATCGTGAATCAACGCGCGCCGGGCCAGATCATTAACAATGGTCAAGATATCATAGCAAACTAAAACTAATTAATTCAGGGTGTAAGGGGTCTTTCGCATATTACGTTATCACTATCAACACTCCCTCCCCCTAAGTGATTACGCTTGCGCAACTTTAACAGGATAGCTATGTGTAATACTGAGGAGGATTAACAATTGGCCAAGAAGTTATTACGTAATATGTGAACGATACCATAGTTAGTTAAGTTTTAAAAGTTTACAGAACAAACCTTGCTATTGAGTTAAATCCAGGAAACTTTAGCACCCGTTAAGTAAAACCCCCGTTTATTATCTTTCTGATCACAAGCTTGTATTACAATTTTCAACAAAACCCCCCATATCTGCACTGTTTCCTCACACCACTTTGGTTAGAGTTACAGGTGTCACCTGTAACACGAAGGAGATGAAATAATTCTCATGAGACCACAAGTTGGGGAATTTAATATGCCCGAACAAATTCATTAGTTACTAAGTTACACCGTCAAACTTGCCAAAACTACTGAAGACATGTATTTGGAAACCCGGCATAAAACAGGTTCAAACGAATAACATGAAAATTCGAGTTAGTGACCTGGTTGGAGCCGACCCCTCCACAGTGAGTCCTACAACAGAAACATAGGAATATGAGGGCTATAATCAGACCGGTGGAGAGAATCAGAACCGCCACCACCGCCCCCACCACCGACATCACGTCATCCATTTTAAATATCCGGGGCAGACTCAAAGCTGTGAGGAGGACTTGGCAAGATATCGGCCCTTTTTTACGTATCAAGGTATTCCAGCAGCCAGCTATACTAGTTTTGTGGATTTAGATTAGATATGTATTAACTTGCGGTTGAAAGTGGTTGAGCGGTTCACTGTTGTCTAGGACAAGACAGTGTCGAGTGCCCTATACTCCTAAAATGATAATAAAAGTTGAATATTGAAATAAGCACAACTGCAGTCATGTAGTACTAGTAGTGGTATAAATATAATTTGGAAATTTCCTGTGTATACTCCTATTCAGCTCGTATATTGCCGTCATGCGTGCTGTGATTAATTACAACAGCTGAACAGTTTGATTTGTGGGAGCACGCGTTTAATTTGCAAATGTAAAAACACAAGTGCAACTGTGCAAGTGACTCGACAATATATTGAACGTAACGATATAGTAGAGGCTCTTACGGGCAAAAAGACGTGTTTTCTGCTACGAGTTTAGAGACCTTACCGCTAATTGGACACAATGGTATGATGTCTAAGGATCGATAATATGTTAAGAAGTATAAATTTGGCCTTATTAGTCACGTGCTATACCAATGCGCGTTTTAAACTTTGACAGTCTATTACTCTAAGGCAAATAAAGTAATTATATTCATATTTTGTCAGCAATAAGATCACATTGTTTTCTATTTGGTGTGAAAATATGAGCTAGAACGGACATAATCTCGCTGAGTTATAGCTGTTTGAAATTTATGATGAACGCGCGGATGCCAATTGATAACAACTAAATGCTTTTGCGCGTACGCGTAGTGCGCGTCAAAAATTTGGCAAAAACGCTTGCGGAGTGACAATATTCAAACTTCGATAAAGTATATGAAGTGGGTACTTCTCGGAAAGGAAAAATTTAGGCAAACACGATGTGACTATTTTTGGGTTGATTTAATACAACTGCAAAAAATTATTCAAACTTCAAGCAAAAAAGTCAAAATTTTTACCACTTTTTTGGATTTTTACCCCCAAAAAAATAGAGGGATTTTTCAAATTTTTAAACCATCTTGTGCGGCTGAGTTTTAACTATCTCCATGCAAGTTTTGCCGACATGCCAACAAAATTAACTTGTTCAAAATATCAAAAAACATGGTTTTTTGGCCTATTTTTTGCCCAAAAATCGGTTTTTTGCGATTTTACCCCCAAAAAGTCAGTCCAATCATCTTAAAACCACTTTTAATCGATTCTACGGTCAAAAATACGTCTAGTAAGGTGTATTTGGGGTCCCTAGCGTATCGAGCAGACAATGCCCGTAAGAGCCTCTACTAATATCAAACTAAATAGACAATGCATGTAGCAACCCTTAGCCCCGTATATAGCAGTTCATTTGAATGTAAAGGACCTAGCTGAGCGTTTCATTAATTAGGAAATATTAAATAAAACCGAGCACCTTAGGGCTAAATCATTATACATCGTGACATGAAAATCTTTACTGGGCGGCGCTCAGCCTGTCATTCCGCCGAATTTCTATTTGAATTATGAACATAAATATGAACATAAATATAATAATGAACATAAGCATATTAATAGCCTGGGGTCCCCAGAAGATCTGTTTAACACTTAAAGGGTGGGGCTATTATATCGGTTAAAGTGCAAACTAGTTGTAACTAACTTATTTTATAAAATTGATACATTCGAGATTAAGATATCGTGATTACATGGTCCTCATTAAGTCCTAGGTTTTGTATATGAAGCAAATGGTTCTTAAATCTCTTTTTAAATAGTGAAATTGACAAAAGATGATACGGTACATCATGATCAAGAAGATAATTTAAAATTTTTGATGCATTAAAAACAAAATTACTATTCTTGGTCTTAGACATTGAGAATTTAGGATATAGAAGTCTGCATGATCTCTTTGACTTGCTAAACCGGTGATAAACATCAACAGGAATTTGTTCTTCAAGTAGCCTCATTACAATACATCCTGTAAAGTATGTAAATAAGTGAAACAAGGTTAATAATTTCAAACGAAAGAACATTGGTTTCGTATGTTGAAACTTGTGATTAATCTTTATTGTTTTTCTACTCACAATACAAATACATTTTTTCTGCAACACAAACAGTTTTTGCAGCAAAGGATGGTGAAAAACAGCACCCCAGTGGTATCCGTATACAATACATTAAATATGGTTGAACAAGTGAAATATATACTTGTCTTAACACTTTGGCTGGTACTATAGAACTTATGGAGTAAAGTGATCCGCAAGATTTTGAAACTGGCGCGTTATTACATTGGTAATATTATGATCATTCCACGTTAAATTATAATTAATAATGACTCCAAAAAATGTACACTTATATTTATTTGACTCTGGACAGCTGTAGGTTTGGGAGCTGGTGAAGTTTGGAGGTAGCTGTAGGCTGAGGGTAAATTACTTGGGGATCTCAGGCTTTAGTGTTTATAAACAAAATGAAGATATGTCGGATAAGGCCTTTAAACGAAGTTCAGGTAGAAATTCGACCAAGGTGGCAAAATTGACAAATTCTATCTAAACCTTTTGCTGACCGCAAAATCGTTGCAATCGCAAAATAAAGTTTAGGGTTATTTTCAAGAAGGTTTTTTATCCTATCGTGATCAATATCATCTGCAGATAAGTATTTAAAAATGACTGAAAAATCGTTTATCGTTCAATCCAAGATGAAGGCAAAACTTTATAAAAAACACACATCAAGACGCCTAAAGACTTTATATGTTATTTGCGATAGCTAAAATAATGAAACACAAAATAGTGTTATTTGACTTTGAATAA